TCTGTTATTAAAGAGTTTGAAAATGATGAAGTTGACGGTAAAGTGAATATTCGTGATAATGATCATGATACTTCACAGTTGTCTTTGGTTGATCATGATGAGATGAGGGATATGACTACTACTGCTAAGTTGAACAAAGTTTCTGTACAACTTGAACGTGAAGTAGAAATAAATGCAGGTGCAGTTGCAGAAGGCATGCATACTTGTGAGACCGTCAGTGTAAGTGATCAGCATGTAGCCCACCTATCATCAGATGCTAATGTTAAACCTGAGCTGATAGTAAAAGACAGCAGTGGTGGTGGTCTTGCAGGTAGACAACTTTCTGAAAGCCGAACAGCATCAGCTTCTGATCCACCGCTAACTTCATCAACTGATATCAATCAGTCGTCGTTGGTGCTGTCATCCACAATGGAACAGTCGCCCATCAACTCAAGTATCTTCTGCAATGACTATGATAGTATCAGTTCGTTTGAAAGGACGAATATCAATGGTCAGTTTAGTGAGGATAAGCCAAGTGTAAACGAGAGAGTAATTGTTAAATTGACTTGCATGAATAAAGGCATTTCTAGTTTCAAGTTACTATTTGAATGCTGTTATCTTTGGTGTAAATTACTCTGTGACTACACTTGGTTGATGAGATATGTCGTGTGTTTGTTGGTCATCTATATTCTACGATACAATGACATGGGCGAGTTGCCGTTCAGATTTGAGGATATGGCTGATAGAAGGAAGTCATCAAATGAACTCTGCGACGATTTTCCAACCTAGGGCGTCAACCTGAGAAGGGTTGTAGGCGTACTGCTGTAAGTCCTACAGTTCTTCAAAGGGTAGCGCATCAATGAGCAGTCCAATGTGCTTGGTGTGTGATTTTGTACATATGTTCATATTGTATATACTGAATTGGTATCATCTGTCATCTAGCTGTTGGTAATTCTGTTTGTGTCCGGACGACTTCCACTTGGATCATCAACCTGAGAAGGAATGTAGGCGTACTGCTGTAAGTCCTACAGTTCTTCAAGGGTAGTTTGTCGTGCCAGAATCCACCACTTTGATGTATTGATTGTACATGTGTTTGTGTTAAATAATTGTGTGAGTTCCAATTGATGTAATTGTTGGTTAATCATGTTTGTATCCGGACATTCCACAACTTACAATCGTCAACCTGTGAAGGGTTACAGGCGTACTGGTGTAAGTCCTGCAATTCTTCAAAGGAATTCCGTCAAGACATGATCCGCGAGGTTATTTGTACTGTTTGTGTATACGAGTGGTGTGTCTTCTCAATTGGTGCTTTTGGATTCATTGTGTTTACTCGTTGTTTTCGTACCTTGTTGTTATTGCATAATTTTGTTAAAATTTTCGTCGTGATTACTTCTGAAGTTGTTTCTTGTCTTCTACATCCATGAATGAATTGATTGATGTTAGAGACAGCAGATGGGTCGTATACGCCGGGGAGGCTATTCCTGAGAATGAAATGCATACGGAGAAAATTGTTAGCTGTGGTCCCACACGCCGGGGAGCGGGAGTGTAGACGACTGAGGCTCGCATACGTCACCGTTACTAGAACTGAGGCAGAATGAGTGACAAGCGATTGCAGTGGTAATTGGTAGTGAGTAGATACGAGGATGTGAGTAGAGTATCGTGAGGTGGTGCTATGGTCACGTTGCATTCTGCAAGAGTCATTCTAGCAAGTGGCGATTGTGTTGCAAGAAGATGCTTTTAACTGGAAGGCGCAGGTCGTCATTGATGTGTGAGATTGTGCTGTGAGTATGCTTGTGGTGTGTTGGCTTTTGTGTTTGTTTTCCATTTCAGCTCTGTCCATGTGACCCAGGTTCTCGCAATGTCATCCAAGTCAACGTGTATTGGTCGTGATGGAAAAAAGGAATAGATCCTTTTTTGCCGGGGAGTGTCAATGTAGTTGAAGATTGAACGATCAATTCATGGTTGTTTGCTCAAACCCAACTTCCCGATATTTTCGCGGAGGCATCAATACGACAGTCATCGTCTCATCGGTCGCTGTTCAGAGAGAAGTCAGTATAAAACCGTCAGAAGTAATATTGTGATTTATTATTGTAATATTTGTTCACAGACCTTAGTGGAATTATTTTTTATATGTTGGTGCAACAATAAAGAATCCTCGAGTCAACAATTGGTGTTTTGGTTTTTCGTCCGTTATTACTAAGCGTTTCTGAAATACTGCAAGGAACAGCGTGAGCCCGAGCGTAGCAACAGCTGGGCATTAACGGTTTACGAGACGAGGCTGACAGCTGGAGATTTTAATGCCCTATCACTGAACCTCGGCTCCGGCTGTGCTAAGGGAAAATTTGGCCGAAACCTAGTGCAAACTATTGGAATCACGGGACTGACTGAGAATGTTGGAGACGACAATAAGTGGGGCCCTAATGGAAAGTCATCAAAACTAGACTACCTTCTAACTAGTGACCAACTACTCGTCGATAAGGTCCAGATCATGACTCCTCTGGGAAGCAGTGACCATGCAGTCATAGGTTTCGATCTTGCTCTCCACGAGCGTTTGCAGTGGGATGTTACGCGACCATGTCTGTGCTACAGCAAGGCTGACTATGCTGAAATGCGGAGGCTCTTGTCCGACGCAGACTGGCCCTTAGCATGGGACGACCTATCTGTGGATGAACACTGGGAAGTGGTAAAAGAGATTATCCATATAGAAATTTCGGATACCGTCCCTTTAGTCACAACACAGCCCAAGAGAAAGACTTCATGGTTGAAGAGAGGCACGCAACGTATTCTGCAAGCAAAGTGGAAGGCTTGATTTACGTGGCGTGTATCTAAGAGACAGACCGACTACGATGCATACCTCGAACTCAGGAACCGGTGTAATGCAAGAGTCAGGAGGGACAGGAGGTCATTCCAGGCTAACCTTGCTAGAAAACTCCTATCAAACCCCAAAATCTTGTACCGATTCATGTCGGAAAGAAAACCGACAAACCAAGGGGCATGCGCCTTAGTAGGCCCAAACGGTCAATATCTCACTAGTCTGGAGATGGCTGAAACATTCAGTTCAGCCTTCGCTAAACAGCTAAACAGCAATGTGGATATTACAGTTACGGACCAAAATGGTGGCACCACTATTTCACAGGAGGAAGACCTAGCGGCTACTCCCCAAATAAACCCCGCAATAGTACTAAGGAAGCTACAGCGACTCACACCTGGGAAGTCCCCAGGTTGTGATGACATCAGGCCATCTGTTCTGAAACAGTGCGCCGAGGCTCTCTGTAGACCCCTGTGCGACTTGTTCCAACACTCAATGGATTCGGGGACCCTGCCAAGGGAGTGGAAAAGAGCCATCCTTTCTCCAATCTTCAAGGGTGGGGACAGGCAAAACGCTGCTAGCTATAGACCAGTAGCTCTACTCCCAGAGGTATCAAAAGTACTGGAAAGTATTATTGACGACAACATCAGGGAATATTTCGATAGGACTAATATACTACATGAAGCCCAACATGGTTTCAGAAAAGGCAGATCCTGCGTCACTAACCTACTGTCAGCTTGGGACGACTGGACATCATGCTGGGATATGAACGTACCAGTCCATGTGGTCTTCCTAGACTTTGAGAAGGCATTTGACACTGTTCACCGCGACCTTCTCCTACATAAAATAAGCCAGGCAGGCATAGGTGAGCCACTTCTGTCATGGTTAAAGGACTACCTAGCCGACAGGCAATTTTGCACTAAGGTTAACCGAGTCCGATCATCTTGGCACAGATCGTCATCAGGAGTGTCGCAGGGTTCTATCCTAGGACCACTGATGATTTTGATTTTTATCAATGATCTACCACGCCGTCTGAGCTGCCCGACTCTCCTATATGCCGACGACGTAAAAATATGGAGGGCGATAAAGTGTCCGGAGGACTCAGATAGGCTACAGGAAAACCTAAACCTGCTGGAAGACTGGGCGGTGGCCAGTGGCATGACTTTCAACTTGAAAAAGTGCAAAGTAGTGAAGTTGCGCACCTGTAGACTGCAGAATGCAAGTTACACCCTGTGCAATGAAGGCTTGTCCTGCACAACGTCGGAACGCGACTTAGGTCTAGTTCTAACGGAAAAAAATGGACACAAGCGTAAATTACACACGGGATGTAGCGAGGGCATATGCGGTCATACACTTTACCCATAGACAGTTAGGTGCACTCACTCCTGAGCTTTTTCCAATGTTGTACAAAACATACGTCAGGCCACACCTTGAGGTGCATAATATTATTGCACCCCCAATGCTGAGAAGAGACGCCAACCTCTTGGAAAGAGTCCAACGACGGGCAACAAAAGGAGTGGTTGGTCTCCGAAACAAACCATATGATGAAAGGCTGAAGAAATTAGGCCTGTTCACACTTAGTTACCGTCGGCTTAGGGGGATTTGATTACTGCCTACAAAATAACAAATGACCAGAATCACCCAAACAAAGGTGTTCTGCCATTGAGTAGGTATAGGCTTCCACGTGGAAATCCCAGAAGGATAGCTCACCAGAGGGCAAGGACCCGGGTGCGCTCCCACTTCTTTTCACTGCGGGTTTGTCGTCCCTGGAATTCCTTACCGGCAGATGTAGCTATGGCACCGTCTTTGGACGCCTTTAAGCGAAGGCTGGACAACCATGCAGCGATACAAGGACTGCATCCAAATGGCCTATCTCCTTAAAATCGCATATACCAATCAGGGTAGATAATTAAACTCGTCGTTTTACTTCTTTACATTCTCTCCCGTTTTACTCTCTTGACAACTTATTAATATTATTATTACTGTTATTATTACCGATATATATATATATATATATATATATATATATATATTCTTCAAACTTAATCAGCTGACTGTTGTTACGTTTCCTATTTCCGTTTCTTTCTCTTAGTCTGAATAGCTTCACTAATTATATCTATTATTAGCATTATTATTATCATTACTATCTCTTTTCTCTTGTCGACGATACCGAAGGACTAACTGGCGAAAGGATCAACTCCAATCACAGTAGTAACAGTCTTAACACACCTCATACTACAAACCACATATAATTAATCCCAACAATACTCCCTTTGGAGTCAACCAAAGCTACGACAGTCGAGTGGCGGGACAAGCTACGCAGAAGTTTACCGAAGATCAGGAACCTATACCTTACAATCAAGAAGCGAGCACAAAGAAATCAAATTGGCTTATACTAGCTCGTAAAAACGATATTGGATATTGGATCCTCAGTCGACTCGTTCAAGAACCAATTAAACAAACTCAGATACTTATTAAAATAACATTTGCACATATTTGAAGACTCCCGTCATCAACTAAAAATTATGAAATCTGGAAGTAGTGTAATCTAAATTGAATATTGCATCACAGTCCCAAAAATTCAACTGGTTGCGTGTCGGCAGCGTTTTGTGAGGTTCTACTGGCCGTAAGTCCTCACTGTGTTATTTGGTGCTTTTCATTTTCATTTTATGCTTACCTCGCAAGATTTTTCTGTCAATCATATGTTGTTTTGGTTACTAAAAAATTACAACACACTCATATATCCCAGTCGAACAAAAATACACCATAGGCAAATGATGGGCAATGCCACAAGTTCGCAAAAATGTACGAATCTTGGTTAGGTGACATAATTTTGTCTGTTTTGACTAGTATTCAACCGATATTTCACCATTACTCAACGAGAAATTTCCTACGAGTTAACCAATATTCTTACAAAAATACAATATTTCAATAAATTTTCACTATTTAAACACTACTTTCCATTTTTTTTAACCCATATTTAAGCAGTATTTTATCATTCTGACCATTGTGAAACCAGGATTTGCCTATAATATTATTATTCTTGTCATTCCCCCAAAGTTAATCTGCCTACTTTATCCATTGTTTAGCAATTCTTCGCCTAATTTCGTCCAGGTGAGATTGTTCACTCTCTTAAAAAGTGATACTGCGTTTTATGGACAGATAAGGAAGAATCGGAGGCGGATAAAGCATTGGGTGAATTTTAACTTAAAGAGTCAAATTGTGGCAGTAGACAGATGATCTTAAACGCACCAGTTACATGAGAAGGTCGAATTTTATGCATAGAATACATACAGTTATGAGAATAATAAGGAGAATTCATGGAACTATTACAAAAATACGTTTTTTAGCGTTTGCTAAAAAGCTTTACCAGCTTTGGATTGTAGTGTCCTCAGAGTGGTTATACCACATTCTAAACAAAAACTCAGCTTACCCTAATTTAACTCGGACCAACCCTAATATGTTTTTTATCAAGTTAACCTTTTCTTATCCCTAAACCTTAACTTATTCTTTCCAAAATGTAACAAAAACTTACCATATATCCCGTTTAATGTTAAAAACCTTCATTAGACTTATCCATGATTCTAGTTTTATTTGCTTGATTCCACTAAATTCCTCACTGAACTCACCTAGGTCATTTGTGTGGTCTCAATTCACTGGTATTTCATAAGGCTTAAAGTTTAACTTAACTGTTTATGTTTATTTTACGAAGTTACAACATAACCGACTGAAACCAAGGAAGTCAATTCTATAATTCGAAAGGGAGAATGGTTGAATATGCACCAAGAGAAATCCTAGTGTTGACGTTTTTTCTCTCTACTATGAGAGTTTGGAATTTCCACAATCTAGCATGCAGATTTAATTTTTGCTGTTCATTTCTCTAACAGGTTGATTTAATATGTCCCATAAGCGACCGGAGCACTCTCTTCCTCCTGAATTGGTAAGTCACTATAAAACTCTCCGTTTTTTCTAGTATTATAATAGTGATGAAGCCCGAAAATACAGTTCTAAGTGAGTTCTCCCTTTGTTATTACTTTTCAGTTCTCATATAATTGATATCCAAACACGCATAACAGAAAGAGCTTTGGAATTACTTGCTCTACCCGAGGATGAGACGTGTATGATTCTGGACATTGGGTAAATAAATAATAGAAACTTTTATATTAATAAATTCAGATGTGGCTCTGGTTTGAGTGGAGAGGTTATAACTGAAAATGGTCACAACTGGGTTGGCGTTGATATAAGTAAAGACATGCTAGACGTGGCATTAGACAGAGAAGTAGAGGGTAGTTTGTTACTTGGTGATCTTGGTTGTGGATTGCCGTTCCGCGGTGGGTCATTTGATGGAGCTATAAGTGTTTCAGCCATACAGTGGTTGTGCAACGCTGATAAGTCGTCACAAAATCCTGTTGTACGCCTCAGACGGTTTTTCTCCTCATTATACAGTTGCCTGACTCGCAGCGCAAGAGCTGTTTTACAGTTCTATCCAGAATCTGTTGTTCAAGCAGATTTACTGCAGAATGAAGCTATGCGAGCTGGATTTTCTGGTGGTCTCATCATTGACTTTCCGAATAGTACACGAGCCAAAAAGTAAGTACAGTTATTTTGGATATTTCATTAACCTTTTAGCTTTAGTACTATAGTTGTATTTATCTAAAACTTTAAGTAGTAACTAAGTTGACCCACTTTTTCCCATTACTGATTTCAGTATTAATAACTTAATATTTAAACAATTCTATGTGTTTAAGACAATTTTATTTCTCAGAGCCATTATACTTTCTAATTTTTGATGTTGATGGGTTCCATTCTGTAACTCTCTTATATTCATTCCTGTGTGATTGCCGTGCACTATATATGGACAGTGTCGCAATGTATTTATTTTTGTAGTTTCAAATTACGATGACTTAGTTGTTCTGATTAGTTGTGAGAGTTTCCAAGCATTTTGTTGGCACTCATTCGCTTACCGAGCCATGTTACTCCTGTCCGTCAGTATGCCTTGATCCTATATTTTGTTTCTGACTATGAAGACAGGTAGCAGATCTTGAAATATGTGCATTATTGTTGTGTAAATCCATAGAATATGCAGACGATATAGTCCTACTAGGCGAGGACGCTGACGAAATGCAGAGTCTTCTAAACACCTTAAGTTGCAATCCACGAATGTTTGGCATGCGATTCCCTCGCACCAAATGCAAGATGATGTTACAGGACTGGACTACACTGACTGACTCCTAGTTTAGAAATAGGGAGTGAAGTGTTAGAGCACGTTGACCGCTTCACTTATGTGGGAAGTACCATCAGCCCCAACGGGTTGATCTCTGACGAAATCTCAGCACGAATACAGGGGGCTCGTTTCGCATTTGCCAGTTTACGCCGACTCTGGCGTAGACGAGATGTTCGACTATCGACCAAAGGGCGGGTGTACTGCTCATCAGTCCGCTCTGTCCTCTTTTATGCCTGTGAGACCTGGCCACTCAGAGTGGAAGACATGAAAAGACTAGCTGTCTTCGATCATAGGTGCCTGCGTTCTATCTCCCGTGTGAAGTGGTATAATAAGGTGGGCAATATTGAGGTTAGGCGTCGAGTGCAAGATAAGGAGGGAAAATCAATCGACGAAGTTGTGAAGTTGCAAAGACTGAGATGGTTAGGACATGTGTTACGTATGCCTAGTCATCGCCTTCCTCGACGAGCAATTTTAGCGGATGCAGGGTCAGGCTGGTAAAGAGCTAGCGGCAGCCAAACCAAATCATGGCCTCACCAGTCAATGAAATCCACAACAGTTAGTCTAAGCCACGTATGGAGGTGTAGACTTCCTGGTTGCGGTCCTAGGGACGGTAAAAACCAATGGTTTGAAACAATTGGTGACATGGCTCAAAATCATTCTCAGTGGTGCAGATGCGTCCACTCCTTGTGATTTATGATTTCCAATGAAACTGTTTTGTTCTTCGTTATTACTCTTCCTTTGTCTCACACCTCTGTTTACTGTCTCTATTATGCATTTCTTCTACTTTCTTCTCGTGCTTTGTGTGCTACAAGGAGAGAGAGTGGCGACTTGAACTGCCACTCTTCGGTGCAAAGTTCTATGTCGAAAACAGACAGACAGATAGCCCAGGGGACAGTTGATTACAGCCGGTCTCACATGGCCTGATTAAAGTGCTTTGTGGAATTGTATCCATATGAAGATTTTACCACCGGCTACGAACTGCTGCTGGCTAAGTCATTATGCACAGTTTTCGGAGTCGTCTATTTTTAATAACCACCTTCCTATAGTGGAGAAGAGACACACCTGGTCTGCTGATCGTCTGAGGGAAACAGCTTACTTCTGTTACATCCCTACTTCCCGACAGTATGACTTTATACTCAGACTTATAATATAGTGTGAGTGATTTACTTTATGATAGCATGGTAAGCTCTTCAGGAACATTCATTCCAGCAGGTGTAACTGGTTGAGTCATTACGATGTACATGTGTGACCGCCACGTCAACGTATGAGCAAGTGCTGAAAATTCCACACTGTAACACTAGTACTGTCTCTGGAATAAAAGAAATTATTATTATTAATTCCACTGCTATCCATCATCAACCAAGGAGGAAAAAAATCAACGTCTGTACCAGTTTTTAAATTATAAAGCAAGCAAGTCAGCAACCTTAAAATTAGATTTAAAAATCCTAGTAGAAATGTATCATGCATTATACCTTTAGATCTCAAAATCTCCTGAGAGGGATCCTATTTTACAGTAAAGCATGAAACATATCACTGATACAATTCCCCTCTGATTCTCCCCAGGAATGAAAGTAATATTATTAGCACGTGTCATAGCTAGAGTTTTCTTATGTCTCTGAATTAATCGTTTCGTACAAGGGGAATGTATTTAAGTCATTTGCTTCAGGGATTTGAATTACAGGCATTCAGTTACTTCCACCCATTAGTAAGTTTTCTTTTCAAGCCACAAAAATCTTTGTAGTTTTAAAGAAATACTGTGGAATTAGGTAGTTGGACCTAGGTTTCGTGCTAGTTGGCAATCACCAGTCAGTCAGCAAGGCGTATCTGCAACCTTGAAAGAACTCATGTCCCGTCTGAGATTCAAACCCGCGTCACCCAATGCTGCAGTCAGAGACATTACCACTGAGGTTTCCGGGCTCGCGATTGACCTCATGTAGGACTAGTGAGTATTTTGATTGGACACTTGTAACTAGTGTGACGTGTCTAGTCCTCCCTTTGGTGCAGACTGAATTCTATCAGTCAGCTTTGCACTGTGGCCACCATTCTAGGTAGCTCGCCATCACGGTGCACTTTGAATTGTTGATGTCAGATGGACTAGACACATCACACTAGTTACTAGTGTCTAATCAAAATATACTGTTGAATTCTTATCTAATTGTGAATAATCATTGTGTTCTGCATGTCAGCAAATCTGTACGTACACTACGATCTTATTTTAAAACCTCAGAAGTTCATTTAAGCATCTTAAGACTTTTATACTATCACTACTTAAATAAATATTTCAGTGATAACTCACAGTAACATGTTTGTACTATGTTGTTTGTGAAAACTTTGTGTTTTTGTGGTAAAGTGGTTCAAATCCCTGCAAACCAATACTTAAATATCAATGAGATGCTCACTGGCGACTGGCCCTATTCAGGGAGGTAGCTCCCTGGGATTCTAATGGGAATTCGTGACCAGTAGGGTGCAACAGGTCGGGTGTGAGGACAAATACTCGTCACCGACGACATTGGCTAGCGGCCGCGCTATGTTGTGAATTGACAGAAGTTAAAATTCGTAGGCCATTGGATCAGATCCTATTGACTGAATAGTTGGTCTACGAGCTCACCTTGTGACCCGAACGAAGGTCTTGGGTTCGACCCCCCTGTGATGGATGCGTACTGGTGAAGAGTCCTAAACGAGGACGATACAACTGTTCAGTACTCAGTGGTTTTTTAATGATTCTCTAACTGATATCAGCTAACGATGAGATTGTGTAACTAGTCAAATTCCTGAAAACCAACACGTGGATATTTGGATTACATTTTTAACTGTTATTCACACCCAAAAGAATTTTTGTAATTTTGCATTCAATCACGTTTTGTACTCAGAATTGTGCTCATCTGTTGTTGTTGTTGTTGACAATTGTGATGAGTCACCTTTGTCGCATATACTTCAGGGGCAGGGGGTGGTGGAACTTAAAAATATAGATTCTGTTTTTAGTTGTCTTCCTTTCAGTTTGTTTATATTGGATTTTAAAATATTATAAATGTTCCCCTCTCCCCCCCCACAATCAGCTATATATGAACTCTTTGCGAAAAATGTTTTACGATTTTATATCCTAATGGATTGACCTTTAGTTGAATGTTCATGTCTATTCAACCGTTTGACGTACTCACTTAACTGGATAGTCATGACAAGAGACCTTGCAAACACCTTGTAATACAAGAAGTTTCTTTGAATTGCTTTTGACATTGCTTCATTGTTTGACAAAAATCATCTTACTTATTGCCCTTAGCTTTGCTTTCCATTTATTATTTATTTTTTCCTATACCTTGTCTCTTATGACCTCTTTTGAATAAATGATTTTCTCAGTGGCATGTTGAATAAATTGTTTATCTCTGTTGATCATTTGGATGTGTCTGTGTGTGTGTCCCCCCACCTATATTTTCCGCAAGTGGTAATCAAGAAATCTTCCGAAATGAGTTGTTTTTCTTTTGACCCTACATGTATAATTCTACACCCAGCATATACACGCAATAGGATGCAATGACTCATCACTAATATCAGAAAGAAATGGAAAATATCATACTCAAGTATTAGTTTGTAGGGATTTGATTGATTGGTTACAGGATTTCATGATGAGCTGACCATTAGTTAGAGAACCATTGGAAAACCTGGGAGTACTGGACAGCTGTTTCGTCCTAGTTTGGGACTCTTTATCAGTACGCACCCACCACAGGAGTTCGAACCCAGAACCTTCTGGTTACAAGGCTAGCGAGCTCGTAGACCATTGAGCTTCTGGGACCCTATCCAATGGCCAGCCCATGAATTCCAACTTCTCCCAGCCGACGATATAGCGCGACCGCTAGCCATTGTTTTCTGTGGTGAGTATTTGTCCTCACACCCGACCTGCCGCACCCTACTGGTCACGAATTCCTACTAGAACCCCAGGTAACTACCTACCTGAATAGAGCCAGTCGCCAGTGAGCATCTCATTGATATTCAAGTATTGGTTTGTAGGGATTGGTTGATTGGTTACAGGATTTCATCATGAGCTGACATTGGTTAGAGAACCATTGGAAAACCAATCAGGTGAAGAGATAAGAAACAATGGAATTATATACGAACAAAGGTTGAAAGTTATGTACTCAAAATTGTGATAAATTGTACTCAAAACGTGGTCATTAGTAAATATTACTGTATAACACCGTGAGATTTGAGTAAAATAGATCTTCTCCATAACAGAATCTATCCATAACTCTTTGCATTCTTCTTTCACTGTAACCCCAGGGTAGTTCGCTAAATTTATTCTCTACTTCCATAGTGAACTTTATCTATGTACCAATGACTGTGTATGTGTGAAACTGATGTTCCCACGTCATTC